GTGAGGTCATCGTCAGATGCAATAAATTATGGACTTACGGTGGAAGTTTGTTTCATTACACAAAGTATGTCTAAGATCTGGTGCTCTGACATACTCATATGCCAACTAATCGCAGGAGCGCTGAGGAAGTGGACCTTCGAGCGAACAGCCCCGCTCGGAGAACTGTTACACTGTATTTGCATTACTAATAAGTTAAAGTAAATTAATAAATAGGTCTCCAATGCACTATCAAATAAAATTAATACCGTTTAACCGTTGGTAAATAAGGCGGCATATATTGGTCTTGTCTTTCCAGCTAGTAAAGTATCCCATTACTGTGACATAAATATTGAAATATTGCATATTGCCTCTGGGCAGCATTTCGTTATTCTCTGCGTGAATATGAAGAAAACAAACCATTACAAAGGAACTCTATTCTTGGTCGCAAGTAAACTATTTTTGGGCAGGGCAAAATTAGTGAGCTGTTAAGACAAGATCAGTGCAATCTGCGACCCAAAATACTTTTAAGCATCTTCGTTTTACAACTTTTCTTCGCACAGAACTATGGCTGTTTAGTAGTTAAACGCTGAGAGAATACGTAGACTGCCACCAACTAGCAACACTTTGAACCGCTCTTAGCATTTACATTGATATACCTTTTCTTCATCTGACAGTCGAGACTTTCGCTGGCATCCGCTGGCGTTCACTTCGACGTCCAAACTGAATTTTCTCCTGAACGGACCAGATCAGAAAATTTTAGAAGCGAAACAAACGTAATAAAAAAGTTACTCGATGTCATCAAATTCAGGACAGAAGTCGCATTCGTAACTGAACCTTTTACGGAAAAAATCCACCACGCATTTAACATCCCGATCGAAATACCTAAAAATTCGAAAGTAAAATTTTGAGATCTGCGCTAGCTTCTAAACATCGCAGTTTTCCCCAGCGCTATTAAAAAAGGAAGGTTGACAGACTTCCCTTCATTCACTTTTGGGAAAATAAGAGTTATCAGAAATCAATTATTCCTTAAGAATAAATGTAATCAAATGTAATTTCCTCACAAGGAACTAATATTACCAAATTTTTAAATTTTGCATTCAAGCATTTGTAAACGATGTATTTCATACAATAAGATCTTGAGTGAATAAATCTTGGAGTGAATTTTGCTGTTAAACGCGAAATTCAACGAATGCCAAAGCAGCATCGAAACGATCATCCGTTAAGAAAGCAACAAGTACTACAGTTGTAGGTCTAAAACTTTTGACTGATGCTGCTACCTGTGAGAGCTTTAATGAAACTCGTCAATGTCAGATAAGAATCAGGTATAACGTAAAACCTCGTTACAAGGAAAGTTCCACAAACGAAACTCAGAGACGAAAGACTACGATTTACATGTGCAAAACCAGAACTGTTTCAGTCCATTTTAATTCATATTATTATGTTCAACTTTCGCAATCACATTTTTTCTTCGTAAATTCTATCTAAGCGCCATGACCTGAAATGAACTCTGAAGTGAACAGCCATGGAGAAAATGATAAGCAGATGTAGACGAAACTTTCTATATCATGCAGGAAAATTTTTTATAAGAGAACATTCTGCCTACCAATCGATAAGTAGAACCGTAGTCATAGTCGACAAGAATCTTTAAAAAAGTGTAGAGAAGTTATTCAGGTCGTTTGAAATCTGAAAGTGACAGCGATTCAGCAGCTGCATCAACGAAAGGTACAGGCCATATTCAATGGAAGAAATAAAGAAATGGAAAAAGTAAATCTTTCACTCGATTTTGGTTATTTAGACAAAGGAAATCTGGCTGAGTAACCTTCTCAAAGATTATCCTTTTTAATAGATGATGACATCTATCAAATTATTTCTTTGCTGCAGTAAAAGGTGCTTTCAGCCAACGGTCGTGAAAATTGCTTACTCTATCACTCTATGGCAGAACCTCTACGGTATTTTGTAATAACTAGTAAGGCATAGTTGTGCACTAACTCCACCGTTGCCGGTTTTAAGCCCGGTTGAGAAAGGAGGACGGCTGGAGAAGGTGGCAAAATCTCCGTAAAACTTAGACACTTGCCACTCATGGTACTGACGCCACCGAAAATTATACCAGTTCGGTCGTCGAATGAGTTACCAAGGGCCGTGCAGGCTGTTGGGGGACTGAGGCAGGCTGCGAAAAGTCGGCGATCAGAACATGCTCCTCGCCCTCTAATAGCTGGGGGCATAGCAGCACAACAACGGCTGACGAAGACCAACGGAACGACGACGAAGAGACCAGTCAACAACGGAGTCGTTACACGTTCTAGACGGAAGAAGCAAACAGCGGGATGCCAATATGGCACGTCAGAAAAGGCTCCACGAGAACGACACGACCAGTGGGAGTTTACAGTCGGAAATTGGAATATATTCTCACTCAGACAGAAAGAACAAAAGTAGGCTCATAAGGTATAAGGTAGTCAGTTCATAATGGTAGTTAGTACAAAAGGTAACAATTAAACATAGTTCAACTGCAGATTCTGAAGCGCCAAGAATCTGGAATTCTGATAATCTGCGGACGAAAGCTATTCTACTCAGGTGTCAATATCACGACGCGCGCAAAGGCCGGTGCTGGGGTTCTCCTAGAACCCAACCTCGACCATAGAATCATCGACTGGAAACCTGTCAGCGGAAGGATGGCAATCCTCCCACCGAAGATACAACAGGCTAAAGCGTTGACCTTGTTACAGTTCTATGCACTCAGCTTAGAGGGAGAACCTGACACATCCTTCGCGGAGGCGCAGTAAGCTCTGTCCGAAGTGCAAAATGGAGAGCCCCTCAAACTCATGGGCGATTTTACTGCGTATGTCAGAGTAGACGCTGAAAAATCGAACGGCGTGATTGGAAAAAATGGCCCTAGCGACCTCAACAATAACAGCATGAAGCTGTTGCGGCTTTGTGCAAACAGCGGATTGTCCATTATGAACGCATTCTTCGAACATCGAAGAGTACATAAGAATACCTGGTACCACGAAGCTTGTGTACAGAAGTCGATCATCGGTTTGTTAATCGAATCAACTCACTTAAGACGCTGAGTATTGGATGTTCACGTTAAGAGAGGCGCCGAGCGATCAACCGAACATTACGTCATTGTTGGCACGCGGCGCTGTAAGAAATGGAGTACCTTAAGAAGCTCTGATGACAGAAGCAACCAGAGAATCAAATGGGAAGCATGATCTTCGGTGGACACGAGAGCGAAATTTGCAAACAACATCGCACGACGGTTTGAACAGATCTCGGTGATGACCATTGATGTGGAAACCGAGTAACGCTCTTTAAGTGGAGAACACTCAAAGCTGCCGCCGAATGCTGCGGATTTAAACGGGTTAGCCTACAGCCCGGAAACGATCTTCCCAGTGGACACGAGAGAAACAACTGGCAGTTAAAGAGAACAAAGCAGCGTTCAAGAAATGGCTTGGAAACAAAAAGCCTTACACTCGCGTGCGATATGTCGAGGCACACATGGCAGCAGCGAA